CAAGTCATGAGTACATGGACAGTTCTGAAGCAACCTTAGGAAATACATCTGTTTATAACAATCACTTTGCCACTACATTTCTCTAATTTTTTTTCTGAGCCTTTTCATTAGTGGCATAGATGGCCATGGAGCAATTACATTCTAATGGTCTTTAACATTTGATAGCTTCTCTAAATCTTTTAATGTTAGAATTATTATTAAATAGAGCCTTAATCAACCCTCTATGATTCAAGTGCTGGCCCTTTGATCAACAGGTTTTCAGGAGATGAGGAACAGCCTGCATCAAGATTACCTTATTGGTGGAGTTCAGGGTCATGTAGCTATATTGACCTTCACAGTGAGTGAAAGACATCTCTCCAGAAAAAAGAATAGAGGAACCCAAAGTTACATACATCAATAGGACACAATAGGATCTGGAAAATAATAGTTATAAGTATCTATAATAGACATAAAAGAAGAGAAAAAGTCTATACTCTAATGCCATTCTTTATTAATTCATATGCAATGCAATTTGTAATTATGTGGGATTTTGCTCTACTTCTTTCATGAAAGTTTGTTGTTCCAGTCATAAATACACCTTGGTGTCTGCCATGAGTGAGTAATTGAATTTGGTGACACCATAAAAAACAATGCCTGCTGCTATTCCAGCCTGGGGAAGGAATTATTCCAGCAGATGTACATGAAAAGGTCCTATTTGACAGTGGATATCTGTGCCACCTGGGAGGTAAGTACTTAGATGAGAGTGTGTTGAAGAAACCAGAGGAACGTCAGTTTATGTTTAAATTTGGGGTAATAGGATATGTGTTCTTGGATCTAGAAATCCATGTTATTGACAAGTGCTAATGTTCTGGAGTGGAGGGGGTAGGAAGGCAATGCTGGGATGAAACAAAAAGGAACAGAGGGAAGAATTAGTAGCGACAGGCATATTGTCTCCTCCACCTATGATAATTCCTCTAGTTTCCTAACAAGGACATAGGAATCCTTTTTGTTGCTTCCATTGTCTTCTCTTACTCTCTTTACTAGTTTTTCTCTTTATGCCAGTCAGTGTCCATTAGCTACATTAAAATTTCTTGGCAGTGTTTATTTTCAACTGTTCTCTTCCATTTATATTGATTTAGCCAAATAGGAAAATATTTCTTCACTGTGTTTCCTTCTAGGCCATGGAAAAGTGCAAGGTTGCAGGATTGGCCAAGTGCGTTGGGGTATTCAACTTCAACTCAGGCAGCTGGAGTTGATTCTGAACAAGCCTGGGCTCAATACAAGCCTTTTTGTAACCAGGTGAACATCTTCCATATCCCCTTGTGTTTTTCACTCCCTTCTGCACATACCACTACCAGGTGTCCAGTTGATCTCCACTCTTGTTCAAATTACTTTACAGAAAAAAAAAAAGATTATACAGGCAGAGCCTTTATGTAGAAGAGCATGGATGGCTGTCCAAGGTTTCTATGTTTGTAAAAGCTTAGGGAAAAAATGAGGATATTCTTGCTGAAATACATGTAAAAATATAATGTTTATGAGTGGAATTGACATTTAAGGATTTGGTAGTTGTTTATAGTTGTTTATATTGTTGTTAATATATAGATAAAATATATATTATACTCCTGAGGAACAGTGGTTTTTCTACTTACTACTTTTGAATTCTTTATTTACTGAAAGATTAAACCATGACTATAAAGTAAATTGAAAATATGCCATTGAAAAAATTAAAAGAAAAAATAACTAAGGAAGGAGGAGGGAAGGTGAGTTTAAGGGTGGGTAGAAAGTATTTTTTGTTCTTAAAACCATATATATGAAATCCATGAAATGGGTTTCCTTCATATAAATAAAAAAAAGGAAAAAGAATCTTGGGGTGGGGGGTAAAGATGATCAAGGATATATCAATCAGGAATCAAATCTCGGAAGAAGTTGAATTTTTCCAAGATCAACATAGGATGCAATGGAAGGTCACCTGGTTTGTAGATTGGCGAACAGGTTGTGGAAGGAACTGTGTATAGGAATAAAGCATGAAAGCATGGAATGGGTGATAAATAAAGACATAGTGAATGTAAGAAAGATAAATGGTATGGGTTTGCACTGTGTTCTAAAACTTGAATCTTTCCTCTTGGTATCTGCTTTCGGATGTTTTGAGCAGAGACCTAAATAAAGGAGAAAATGGAGATTATTATAATAGCTTAGGGAAGAGGGAGGAAGCTACCAATTTATGGTGATACTAGTGGTGGACAGAATCAGCCCTCAGAAAAGGATAGCAGGATTAGAGCTTATATTTTTCTGAAGCCCCTTTAAGTCAGATTCTCCTCCCTGCTTACTGCCATCAAGTCATTTAAGCACATCCGTTCTGTGCCAGGTCACTTGTTCTAACCGAGTTTCTAACAACTTGGAATCACCAAGTAAGGACCTTTAATGGGAAAATATATTATAAAGTCCATGAATTTAATATATAATTATGCAGCATTAGTTTTCAAATATAAATATCACAAAGTTAATATTTATATTAGTTTTACTCCTTTTTACTGCAAATTTTAATCTAGAATATGTGATGAAGTGATACAGATATCTCATATACTTCCTCCTGTATCTAGACTTGTTGACATTTTGTCATGTGTCCAAATTAAGTAGACACATACGCATGTATCTGCATACCAACAATTACTCTCCCTGTTATTTAACATCCAGTCCATATTAGAAATTTTTATTGTTACCTCCAAATGTCTTCTCTTTTACCTTTGACAAACTAGTAGTTTTTTCTTTTGTTTCTGTTTTTGTTTTTCATTTGGATAGGCAGGTGGACAGTGAGAGAGAGAGACAGAGAGAAAGGTCTTCCTTTGCTGTTGGTTCACCCTCCAATGGCCGCTGCAGCCAGCGCACTGCACTGATCTGAAGCCAGGAGCCAGGTGCTTCTCCTGGTCTCCCATGCGGGTGCAGGGCCCAAGGACTTGGGCCATCCTCCACTGCACTCCCGGGCCACAGCAGAGAGCTGGACTGGAAGAGGAGCAACCAGGGACAGAATCTGGTGCCCCAACTGGGACTAGAACCCAGGGTGCCAGTGCCGCAGGCAGAAGATTAGCCAAATGAGCCGCAGCACCGGCCTAAACATATATTTTCATCAAGTTTGCTAGGCAATTTTTTTTTCTGTGATAGTCTCATTGATTTTGTCAAATATTCTGGGATTCACAGATTATCTCCTTGCAATAATAGATCTTTTGCTTCTCTATTCCACATTTCTGTAAATTAGAAATTAGATATGAATGCTGTATTGTATTTAGGTTTAATATTTTGGCAAGTAATGTTCTTAGAATCCTGTATTCCTCTAACAGCACAAAATGACAACCTGTCCCATGATTAATAGTGTAACTTTTGGCCCTTAACTCAAGCTAGTAAAAGTCAGATCTCCTTTCTTCCGAAATATGTTTTTCTCCTTTGTAATTACTAGTAATCAGCTAGGTGAAAATATTCAACTAAAGATATAATATCCCATAGCAAATTTTTACATAACAGATGGGTTCTAATGAATAATGTTTGCCTTAGTTATTTCATTGGGGTTTGTAAATAATTTATTGTATTTTAGCTCTCTTTGCTGTTTTTACTTGATATTTGCACTTAGCACAACCTAGAATTTTTCCTGTAACACCAGGTTAACTATAATACCTTCCCTTTAGTTAAAGAATTCACTGTAATGGTCACCATTAGTGGGGCAAATATTTTTATGTCATCATTCTTTTTTCTTGTCTATGTATTCATTACAATGAACTCATTTTTAAAATCTATGTATTATAATTGGTTTTATTCATCATTCCTTATTCCTTATTAGGTTGAAATCTACCCAAATGTTATTAGTAAGATTCCTATGAAACTACTTTTTCATTCCTCCCAGATATTCTCTAATTACTTATTAAATTTTTTTTTTTATTTTTGGCACTGTCAGTGTTCAGGGGTCAAAGAGTACCTTCCTTGTCCCAGATCTGGAGTTTGTCATCTCTCTTTACAATGGAAAACATTGTTTGGGGACCACAATCTGATGTATAGAGTTGCTTTTTCTGAAGAATGTCATTTTTTTCAACTTTCTGAAAGACATTATATTAAATTTCTTTTCAGAATATTATTAATGATGACATTTTAAGTTATATTTCATGTTATTTTTTTCAATCCAGCTACTTTTACTTAGAATATTTCCATTCATATTAAAATTAGCATTTCAACTAATCCTATATTTTCCTACTTTGTCCATGTACAGGTGGAACATCATCCCTATCTCAACCAGAGCAAACTGCTGGATTTCTGCAAGTCAGAAGGCATTGTCTGGTTGCCTAAGTGCTCTGGGATCGCATTGAGATAAATGATGGTAAAAGGACTGAAGAGTTAAAATTGTATATGTGTGGGTGTCAAGAGTTAAGCTTAAGCTTACAGGTTTAAAAACCTTCCTGGTGCAGCTGTGAAAATAAGACAGAGTAAAGTAGCACCTTGACAGTAGGGACTCCATTTTGGAGCACTTGAGACTGCATTCTGGGAAAGCAACCCCCCCACCGTGAGACTCTGGTCTGAAACTATGATCTCAAATAGTCGGACAATAGCAGTACACTACATCACCCTTGGCAATGCACAAAAACCCCCTAGCATGATTGCTCAAGCTTAAAAGTAAAAAGGTTACACCTGGGTTACCTGGGCTAATAATAAAGATGTGATTTGTCTATGTCTTAAGATCATAATTGCTGATTGTAAGACTTTAGCAACCGCTTAACAACCGTGTATTCTCTTCCCCTTCCCGGTTTTGCGGTTTTTGCCTTTATAAACCCTAACCTTTGGTTATTCGGGGCTGCTCTGCTCATGATGATCAGACAGCCCCAGCATGCTGGATAATCAATAAAACTTCCCCGTGCTGTTTGCATAAGAGACGTGTCTCTTGGTGATGTTTTTCGGGCGGTCGACTCTCACATTTGGAGGCCCCAGCGAGATCTGGGCTGCCCGTGGACGCCTCCAACAGAAGTCTCTTGGGGTAAGTATAAAGGCGCCTAAGGTAGGGACTCAGTATATGCGCGCTTCAGGTTTCAGTTTTTCGGGTTACAGGCCTGTTTCGGTTTTGGTTTTTGGGTTGGCACGGTATGCACTGTGGCTGGCAGACGTGCCTGGAAGCCCCAGGCTACCACCTTGGAGGACCGGGAGACTGAGGACGCTCAGCGAAACTCCCATCAGAAATTCCCCTAGGCGGGAGTTTGGTGCCAACAGCGGTTACATTTTAGGTTTCAGTTTTTTTTGGGGGAATTGCTTTTCTGTCTGTAACATGGGTCAAACTGTGTCCACGCTGCTATCTCTTACTTTGGCTCACTGGCCTGATGTGTGGGCTAGGGGATCTAATCTCTCTCTTCTGATTAAGAAGGTAAAGCAGCAGTCTTTCTGTGCCTCTGAATGGCCTACTCTTGGAGTGGATTGCCCCCCCCCCCCCCCGGAGGGCTTATTCCATTTACCACTCATTTGCTGAGTGAAAGAGGCCATTCTCCTGCCTGGCCGTCATGGGCACCTGGACCGGGATTTTGAGAAGACATCGGAGGTCAGTATTCCTTCCCTCAAGCGGGACCGGATCTGTGGAGGTGACCGTTGAGTGTCCGGCACCCCACAGCTCTCCGCGAATGCAGCTTAGCTACGGCCGAAACTCCAGAGGGATTGTAAGGAACGGGAGGGAAATTAGGAAGGGCAGTTGGCTGAGAGCCTGGAGACCCCCTGAGCTCGCTTTGGCTTCCCGGCGGCCGGACTGCGACCCGAGCACCAGGTCTCTCTCTCGGAGGGACGCCTGGTCACGCTGCCTACTGCTACGCGAGCAGGGCTTAGCTTCGGTCGAGGCTAATATTGGCCCTTCAGGTAAACTCAGACAACTAGGTTGTGGGTAACCTTGAGCAATAGGAGATTTCAAACCCCACCCAGCCCCCAGACTGGAGGAGGTCATTGCTTTCTGCCTTCCTCCTCCTGGGGGGGGGGCTCCTTCCCCCACTCTTTTGCTCTCCTCATCTCCATTCCTATACCACTGGGCAGGAGAAAGGGAGAGGGAAATTCCACAGGTCTCTCCACCTAGGAAAAAGCTGTTACCTGTTAGCTGTTAACCCTTTCCAACCTGGTAGAAAGTTTTCCGTCTTTGCAGCTTATGGTAGCTCTGGTGCGTCTTAAAGTTTTTTGTGAACTATTACTGTTGCTAAGCTTTGATTGCCTGAGGACTAAATCTGAAAAAGAGCTAAAGTTAACTATCTGTTGTAATTGACTGAGTGTCTGCAGTAGTCCTAATTAATCTGGCTTTGGTTAAATTATAGGAGGTTCCCAACACTCTTGGTAAAACAGCGCACCTACCCAACCCCACGGTTAGTCCTGCCAGGCCCTGGTGTGTGCAGTCTTCCCTGTAAATGGGGGACCACAGCCTTTCTCTGCACTCTATTCTAGTCTGTGTGGCCTGCCGCACCCAGGCAGGCATAGCCAAATATCTCTAGGCAGAGCCCCCACCCAAGGGCTGCTTTTTTCTCTCCTCTCCTGGAGGAATTTCCAATTCAATACCACTGCTGACCTTACCTAAGGGAGCCAGAACCTTAAGCCATTAACCCTTTCCAACCTGATGGGTTTTTCTCTTTGCAGCTAATAAAAACCTAAACAATGGGTTCATATGCTGATAATCAGCTCTTTTCTGTGCTGTTGTCCCTGACTCATCTGAGAGCGTTCACCTGTCTTAAAGGTTTTGCGTTTTTCTATTGCCATTATAAGTCTTGATTGAAAAAAACTACAGCGCAAAGTTTGTTTACATTGTTTATCTGTTTTTAACCTCTGAGTGATTACCCAACTGATCAAAAATGTACTAATTTTGGCTAAATGGTTTGACTCTCTGACAGCTTAAATTCTAAACCGAGTCTTCCAACTTTGGGCTTCCAGTCGGATCCCTGGAACTCTCAAAGGATGAGACTCTAAATTTGTTAAAGTAACAGCTGCTTGAGTCAATTCAGATTATATAAAATATATTAAAATATTATAAATGGTGTCAAACCTATGCTGTATTTATGTTTTTGCTTTCGAGCTAAAGTGGTCTTATAAAAATAAGAGTAAAATTCTATGTATACAAGCCTTTATGTTGTTAATTAAAGTAAGCCAATGCAGATTGGTTCAGAAAATTGAGGTAATGCAAATGCCCTTAGGTTTGCTCAGTGGCTTGCTTGCTCAGTTTTACATGTCTTTAATATGCTTTAAACTTATTTCTCTTAATGATAAAGATGTTTTCAAAGTTATAAACATGCACTAATGTTTGCTGTCCAGGAGGTGTTATCCTCCTGTTACTTAAAAACATAAAAATGTAATTTTAACTTTTATTTCAAATAATGGTGTGGTATTCATTAATAACTCAGTGTCTTAAGTCATCTAGGCATCAGTGCTAAGTAAAACTTAAAAAAATGTATTATATATACTTTTAACATCTCAAATTCGATAAAAAAAAAAAAACTGTTTGAGTTTGTTAACATGTATTCTCATAGGTTGTCCATACATGACAATTCAAAGCTATGTAAAAGTAACTACAGGTATAAAGTTTCAAAAGGTATAAACAAGTCATAAAAAGTTTTAAAATGTTTACGATTTTAAAATATTGTTTACAGAGTTGAGTGCTAATGCCAAAATTACACTGACCTAAAGTTGAAGTCTGATCTTCTGTTATAACAATGGGTTTAAAAAAAAAAATGTGTACTAATATTAGTAAATATCTAAAAATGGTCTAAATCATAAATCTTAAAATCTGTTTTTGCAAAAACTGTAACGTCTATTTTAACAGTGTCTGCTTAATCGGTTACTCTGCCATTTCTAGAGTTAGGTCCTGTAAGCTCTTTTTAACTCTGTTAAATAATTTTAAATTATGTAAACTCTTATATACAAGGTTTTTTTTTTTTTTTCTGGTTTATTCGACAACAAAAAAACATAAAATTCATGTTAATCCATTGTGTACTCTACTGTCTCTGTTAAGTTATGGTTATGCGGCAGATACTAGAAAACTGGGTTCCAGAAAACCAAAAAAGCTCTAGTGTTCACAGGCTACACGGTAAATACTCGGAAGCCAAAGAATGGCAGAGACCTCTGCCACAATTTCTCCTCTAAGTCGGGCTACGCAGTAAACACTGGTTAAACTGCCAGTTAAATCTAAAAGCCCAAAAAGTCAGGCTAGAGACCCAACTTGCTGCCTCACTTCTCCTCTTTTCTCTTCCAGAAGGGAAGTTACTACTGTTCTGCAGGACTCTCCACTGTGACGTAGGGTTTGATCCCCAGACCTTATGTAAGGGATGACTGACCTTTTCTGTAATAATGCCTGGCCACAGTATAGGGCCCCAAACAACAACAACAACAACAAAAAAAAGGTTAAACTATAAAATAATGTGACAACTAGATCAATTTTTCGGTGTAAAAATTTACACTGATGACCTCAAAGTATGCAAGCAAGTCACCACAGTTGATCTTACCTAAAGGGTCTTAACTCGCAGGAAAATACTAAGTGTCAGAATTTGCCCATGACCATAATTTTTCTAGCTCACCCTGATATTAAAAAATCTCCAAAAATCAGGATTGGGTTGAGCACCCCCTTGACTGACATCATAGAGGCTGCCTCCTTGGTCTACTTTATTAGAGACCAGGAAAACGAGGAGCAAGCAAGCAGCAGAGGATAGGCAACAGACCAATCAATGGCTGCTTTACACGGTGATTGCCATCAAGGAGACCCAGCAAGGCCAGTGCACCCCAAACGGCACCTGTTGCTGATATAAGGAGCCAGGGCATTGGGCAAGCAGCTGTTGTAACAGCAAATGCCTTCTGTCAGCCCTGCCAAGAGCACGGCCACTGGATACGGAACTGCCCTGGGTGTCGAAGGACTCCTGGTTCAGAACTACAGACCCTGTGGCCCTGAGCTAAAAAGCCTTTGGCTCTGCCCAGCCTCTGCCCAGCTTCCAGCTCCAGCCACTGCTATTGAGGGGATGGCCTAGGGTCAGTGAAACACAAGTTGCCTATTTCTATCAGCCTCCTATTCAGCTCTCCTCCTAGTCCAGCCATGTAATGCAAGTCAACAGGGTGCCTCCCTTAAAGGAGATTTGCATCTCTTTCAATTCTCTTCCAGCACCCCATGGATAGGTCTGGGCCTCACACACCCAGCCAGGCCTTAAAAGTCTGTCCAATAACATTAAGCTTAGAAAGCCCTCCCTGCCAGTTCCTAAAAACAGGGCTTTCAATAACAGCTAACTCAGATAGCCCTACACCTATTTGGACAGGTCCTCACTGAGGACTTAAAGGGCCTATCTCTTAAGGGGTGTGCACAATAATCCATAATATATGTAAGTAATTCATTAGTCTGTCTTCTTTCCCAGCCTGAGACTCTAGTCTTGTACATTGGCTTAACTTCCTAGCAAAACTGGCTACTAAATATCTAATATATATATATATATATATACACACACATATAGTCTCTGGGTCAATCAGACTAGACAGACACAAACCCAAATTTGTACTTTTTCTGGAAAAAGCCAAACAGCTCCAGGACCAGGCCAAGCAGGGCTGGGATTTCTGGCCTAACATCTGATCATAAAAATCCTGGCTATTTCCTCTCCTTGGCCCACTAACTTCTGCAATCTTGATGCTTCTCTTTGGGCCGTGTGTTTTTAATGCCCTTGTTCGTTTTGTCTCTAACAGACTAAAAGCTGTTGAACTCCAAATGGTCATCAGGCAAGACTTCCAGCCCATTCCACTGGACGACTTGAGCAGCCCTCTGGACCGAGCAACACAGTCTTTCCAAGGCCACTGTTGCACACCATAAGACAGGTAGCAAGAGGAAATACCCAAATCCCCCTCGACGCCCACATGCCAGCTTCGAAGAAGTTACAGAAAACGGAACTCCATCCATAATCCCAAAGAAGAATTTTGGGTATTACCTCTTGAGGGAAAAATATTAGGCAGAAAGTCAGTTATGAGCTTATGTGTGTGTGACATAAAGGCCTAATGTGTCCAGCATATGCATCTACATCTCAGTCATCTTGACAATGTTTCACGGGCAGCCTGGCCTTTGCATCCTGCCCTGCCCCCTTCTACCTGATAACCTTCCAGGTGGAGATGCCCGCCCCTTCTGCCTGACAAATCTTCCACAATCTCCCAGATGCAGCCCAGTATCTGCATTTCAGTATTACAGAACAGGCGGGGGGTTAAATCTCATTTTCATGGGGGTGGGTTATGCGCGGCCCTAAAGAAAAAATGTTGTTTTTATGCCGACTGAACCGGGGTGGTTAGAAACTCCATGGCCAAACTCAAAAAATGACTGGAAAAATGCAACGGGAAAGGAAAACTCAACAGGGATGGTTTGAGTCATGGTTCGGCCGGTCCCCATGGCTTACTACTCTACTGTCAGCCCTAACAGGACCCTTAATTGTTCTACTCCTAATTGTAACCATAGGACCTTGTGTGTTAAATAGACTCATCACCTTCATGTGGGAACAAGTTAAAAATGTTAAACTCATGGTTGTAAGACAACAATATGTCACATTAAAAGAGACAAAAACGAATAATCTCTAAGATTAGAGATCCTCACAACAAGGAGTGGGGAATGAAGAGTTAAAATTGTATATGTGTGGGTGTCAAGAGTTAAGCTTAAGCTTACAGGTTTAAAAACCTTCCTGGTGCAGCTGTGAAAATAAGACAGAGTAAAGTAGCACCTTGACAGTAGGGACTCCATTTTGGAGCACTTGAGACTGCATTCTGGGAAAGCAACCCCCCCACCGTGAGACTCTGGTCTGAAACTATGATCTCAAATAGTCGGACAATAGCAGTACACTACATCACCCTTGGCAATGCACAAAAACCCCCTAGCATGATTGCTCAAGCTTAAAAGTAAAAAGGTTACACCTGGGTTACCTGGGCTAATAATAAAGATGTGATTTGTCTATGTCTTAAGATCATAATTGCTGATTGTAAGACTTTAGCAACCGCTTAACAACCGTGTATTCTCTTCCCCTTCCCGGTTTTGCGGTTTTTGCCTTTATAAACCCTAACCTTTGGTTATTCGGGGCTGCTCTGCTCATGATGATCAGACAGCCCCAGCATGCTGGATAATCAATAAAGCTTCCCCTTGCTGTTTGCATAAGAGATGTCTCTTGGTGACGTTTTTCGGGCGGTCGACTCTAACACAGTCAGTCACTGCTGTTGTTTTCCTTTTTTTCATATTTCTCCTTGAAATCAAGTGAAAGCTATGGGGTCTTTCTCTAGAAAAATAAACATCACAAAACCAGCTCAAATGGTTACATGAATTTCATGGGAGTTCTGGATATTGTAAAGCCATTTCACAGACTTCAACTTACAAACGCCCACTTTCAATCAGATAGTAGCTACCTTTCAAGTCACCTGTATAAGAATGTTCACAATACCCAGGTGTTCCCCTAGAGCTGTTCAGGGTCAGAGGACGGTGATGAGAAAGACACAGGACGGCGTCCGTCCGACACCGAAAGGGACGAGCCCGAGTTCCTAGTTTTCTCTTTCCCGCTGAGGCTGGAAGCAAAGGACTTTGAGATGGCAGAGGTGTGAGGTGTAGCACTGTGGGTCCCAGAACCGAAGGACAGCCACCAGGCAGATCCACCCGACTCACTGGGCTGTGGCATGATGGAGGAGCGATGGTGATGGAGGAGGAAGGGACATTGCTGGAATTCACGGAGAAGTCAGCCAGCGTTGCTTAACCCAACTAACACGAGCCCTCTATGGATCCAGAACTGCAGGTAACTGGAGTTAATCTGGACCATATCCATAGGTAGTAAAATCTGTATATTAATAAGAAGAGGCTTGTAAAATGCTTGTTCAAAGGTCTCCCCATATCTCACTGTGAGATTTCACAACTTTGTGAGATTGGCAGGCAAGGATTATCACACCTCTATTAGAGCCAAGTGAAACTCAAAACAGGCAGGTGCCTTGTCCAAGCATAGTTCTTTTTCTGAGAAAACTTTTAAAATCTGACCTTTCCATCCATTAATTCTAAACTAGTTCCGTGAAAGATCTGAGGTGGTCCTATTTTAGTTAAATCCTATATTTTAATGGTATCAGCTAAAGTAGATGCTACATAGCGAAAATATGAAAACTTTCTGAAAGTTAAAACTGCTGGATGGTTTCAACTGAAATATCACCCACACCTCTTTATTATGATGAGATTATAACGCAGGGAAGTATCTAGACATATGCGCAGCTGCATGGATAATCATGAGGCAAACAGACACAGTTACTCTCTGGGTCGGTGAGGAAAACCTCACCAGCACTGCAGACGCAACCCTCCTGCCACAGAGTCACTATCAATGCAACGCGCAGGTTTTTTTGTTTTGCTTTGTTTTGTTTTGGTCAGAACACAGCCTGCCCGTGACAGTGACCTGGACTGGATAGAAGAATGAAAAATGAAAACTGCATTTCAGCAGCTTTGAATTAGCAAGTGATTTGCCTTAGAGAACCAATTTCCACTTGTCAAAGCAAAGAATTCCTTCAAGGAGAAGGACGGTGGTGAAGGTACTGATGCCCTCGGAAGGAGAAGAAGGAGCCGGCATTCTTGTTACTGACATTATTATTATTATTATTACCCACCACTACTACAGGGCATCATTCAGATCTGAATAACTACTCGATGGAGATGCCACAATAAAGCCAAAATTAAACCACTTAGAGCATCATACCGCAAATTTCCAAAAGAATAAATTTTCTCTATGTATTTGCGTCTATTGATTAAATCCAAAATGACAGTGGCCTAATGAAGCAGTAGGCTAGTTTCTCTGAGATAAACACACCCAAGGGTAGACTCTTGACAGCTGCGGGGATGCGGGCCTGACACCAGGCTCCTGCCGCTGCTCTACCCTGAGCCCGTGGCTTCCCCTCTGGTGCGAGAAGGCTGCTCAAGCTCCGGCTGCCACGTTCACATTGCAGCTGGGATGGAGGAGGGAAGCGGAGCAGCCCTTTCCCTTTGCGGCTCTTGCCTGGAAGTTCTGCCCACCACTTCTGCTTATCTCCCGTTGGGCACACATCACCCGGCTGCAGGGGAAATGTGGAAATGAACCTTCTTCTGAACAGAGGGACTCCAGTGAAAATGGAGTCTACTAAGAAAGGAAAGGAGAAGGACACCACGAGGAGGCCTCTTGTGACAGGGCTTTGGTATTTGGTTCCACAGGTAAATTTACTCACCATGTAAACGGGTCACTATTCCTTCCAACATGTAAGGACTTCCACACAGAAAATCATCACAAATGTGTTTTAGAATTGCGAAAATGAAATCTAACTTTAAAATACGGATTTCGGGTGGCCTGTCTTTTGGACATAGCTGATGAACATTTCTTTCTCCAGCAGGCTGCGTGGTGATGAAGGAATGCCAGCCGGATGGAAAACACTAGAGCAGGGAACAACTGGGTACGGCCACGCGGGCGACCACACGCCGCCTGGCCGGCAGACAAGGTGTCGTCTAGACGTGCAGCCCTGCCTGCGGAGTCATGTGCCCTTGCTGGACTGGGTGCAGGGGCATGCACCTGCCGCTGAGTGCCACGTGGGCCCCCTGCTGCAGTGCTCTCGATGCGGGGGCCTTAAAGCACAGGCCATGGGGAGGCATCAAAGGGGTTCCTGTAAAAGCCATGTCGTCCGCAAACAATCATGAGACTTGATAAATGTCAGACCACTGGATAGCTACATGAGTGGATTTGTAATATTTCCTCAAAAAACTAGGTACTTGGCAATTCTATTGCACACAAATTAAACCACAGCCTGTGTGACTCCCTTGGTCTATCTTGTGGAATTCAGACTATGAACAGAATACTGACTGTGGAAGGTTTGATAGAAGTAGGTTCCATGACATAAGAGACAGGGTTATCTCTGGCCATTGCCGCCATTTGGGGAGTGAACTAGCAGGTGGGAGACCTTTGTATCTGTCTCTCCCTCTCTCTGTTTGTAACTCTACCTCTCACATAAATATATAAAATCTTTTAAAAAAATAAAAACCCACCCTTTCAAAAATATTTCATTTATCTATTTTTATTTATGAAAGGCAGAGAAAGAGAGTCAGACGGAGATTTCCCATGTGCTGGTTCACTCCCAAAATGCCCTTCACAGCTGCGGTTGGGCCAGGCCAAAGGCAGGAGCCTGAAACTCTGTCTGGGTCTCCTGCTTAAGTAGTGGGGACCCAATTGCTTGAGCCATTGGCTGCTGCCTCCCACGGCGTGCTACGCAGGACAGTGGGATAGAAGCAGAACTGCTACTCACACCCAGGCCCTGTAATATAGGATGGAAGCGTCTTAACCACTAAGTCAGCCAGCTGCCTCCACCACACTTTCTACAAGCGCATTTTACTTTAACAAAGACCTCAAAGTAGGTGCCATCTCTCTACAATTCAGAATAAAAGGGCCCCAAGAAAACACTTGCCGCCTTCTGTTCGGATTCAGAGACAGATAAATAGCTGAAAGGTGATACAGAAGCCTTTGAAGAAGTGATAGGCCGCTGGGGGAGCTGAAGAGTGTGCATAGCCTGCCTGGTGACACCATCCACTGGCTAAACAACTTGAAGACTGAGACACTCCCGCAGGAGGCAGTCACACTCACTTGTCCTCCTCCTGCCATACTGGGACTGCAGAGTGGCATGCTGGCCCAGGATGTGACAGGGATGGGGCATTGGGACAGGAGGACACAAGTGGGACAGCAGGGAATAAGGAGGAAGAATCACAGGCAGGAAGACAGCTAAAGAGCTGGTTTCTTCTCCAAACTCTCTTGGAGAAATGTTGCTGGTGTATGTAGTTTCTAGTATAAAAACAAGCAGCCCTTCACTGCAAGAGAGAAATTGCAGCATCTTGTAAAAAGCTGATAAAATTATGGGAAAAAATCAAAATAAGAAAGCTTTTCTACCAAAAATGCTGCTTGCCCATGGGGCAGGCATGAGGTGCAATGATTAAGCTACTATTTGAGACACCTGAATCTCATATGGGAGTGCCTGTTTCACGCCCCAGCTACTCCGCTTCTGATCCAGCTCCCTGCTAATGCACACCCAGGGAGCTGGGCAGGTGTTGGCTCAAGTATCTGGGTTCCTGACATCCATGTGGGAGACGGTAGCTTTGACTTGGCCCAGCCCAAGCTGTTGCAGGCATTTAGGGGAGTGAACCAGCAGAAGGAAGATTCATTCATTTTCTCTCTCTCTCTTTCTGCTTTGCATATGGGAAGAAAAAAAATTCATAAGGTTTCTTTCCCTGGACTCCATGTTTTGTACAGCACATGTCCTGTTTTGCAAAAAGTCTGCAGAGACTTTGTCCTGAAAAGTAATCTGGATAAAACAGGCCTGGGCCGCTGCTAGGGCAGTTCTGCCGCTCTCTGGTGGAGCAGAGTTGTTCCGTACATCAATCAGTTGGGTGACCCGTGCTCCTGTTTGGGGCTAACTTCCTGGTACAAGACTGCCAGGGCCTCCTCCTCGTCTGTCCAGCCTGCTCTTCTGTGATACATCCACGGCTGCAAAAGAAGGCCTAACATGGGGCCCCAGAAGCAGTGCTCCCCCAGTCTAGATCCTCAGTGAGTGAACACCCATGTGCTCAAGCAAACACTCACACCATACAGATGATGTTGACGTTGAGGCTTTGTGAGAAGGGGTGAGCTGCGCTGTATGTCGGGTTATCCATCTCCCTTGAGACATACAGTCACACTGGATTTTATGTATGTGGATAATAACTCCTCAGAGTGTCCAAAACCATTTCTAAAGTGTAAAGCTCTGTGGCATTACGTTCATTCCTAGCTGTGCCATCACCACCACCACCCTCCAGAACTTCTTCCATCAAACTGAAACACTGTACTCAGGGCAAGAGCTCACCCTTAGCCACACTTTCCCCAGTCCTGGTAACCAGTCTACTTTCTGTCTCCAAGAATTTGACTTCATGGAACTAAAACCACACATTTGTAGCCTAAGATCTTTAAGGTTCATCCGTGCTGTAGTATGTCTCAAAATTTCCTTCCTTGAGGGGCCAGTGCTGTGGCACAGTGTGTTAAGCCACTGCCTGCGATGCCAGCATCCCATATAAGCATTGGTTCGAGTCCCAGCTGCTTTGCTTCTGACACAGCTCCCTGCTAGTGCATCTGGGAAAGCAGTGGAAGACCGCCC